CGTTTAAGTTTAGATTGATTGAAATGTTTTTGAAAAGAAAAAACTACCTCGAAGGGCGCAAAAAAACACGAATTTTAGTACTGCCCTTGCGTCAAGGTGATCACCGTGGTGGAGGTCTTACACGCCCGTGACGTTGTGTTCTGTATGAACTTACATGCCTTTGACGTTATGTTTTGCATATACTTACACGCCCGTGACGCTGTGTTCTGTATGAATTAACATGCCTTTTACGTTATGTTTTGCATATACTTACACGCCCGTGGCGCTGTGTTCTGTATGAACTTACATGCCTTTGACGTTATGTTTTGCATATACTTACACGCCCGTGGCGCTGTGTTCTGTATGAACTTACATGCCTTTGACGTTATGTTTTGCATATACTTACACGCCCGTGACGCTGTGTTCTGTATGAACTTACATGCCTTTGACGTTATGTTTTGCATATACTTACACGCCCGTGGCGCTGTGTTCTGTATGAACTTACATGCCTTTGACGTTATGTTTTGCATATACTTACACGCCCGTGACGCTGTGTTCTGTATGAACTTACATGCCTTTGACGTTATGTTTTGCATATACTTACACGCCAGTGACGCTGTGTTCTATATGAACTTACATGCCTTTGACGTTATGTTTTGCATATACTTACACGCCCGTGACGCTGTGTTCTGTATGAACTTACATGCTTTTGACGTTATGTTTTGCATATACTTACACGCCCGTGACGCTGTGTTCTGTATGAATTAACATGCCTTTGACGTTATGTTTTGCATATACTTACACGCCCGTGACGCTGTGTTCTGTATGAACTTACATGCCTTTGACGTTATGTTTTGCATATACTTACACGCCCGTGACGCTGTGTTCTGTATGAATTAACATGCCTTTGACGTTATGTTTTGCATATACTTACACGCCCGTGGCGCTGTGTTCTGTATGAACTTACATGCCTTTGACGTTATGTTTTGCATATACTTACACGCCCGTGACGCTGTGTTCTGTATGAACTTACATGCCTTTGACGTTATGTTTTGCATATACTTACACGCCCGTGACGCTGTGTTCTGTATGAACTTACATGCCTTTGACGTTATGTTTTGCATATACTTACACGCCCGTGACGCTGTGTTCTGTATGAATTAACATGCCTTTGACGTTATGTTTTGCATATACTTACACGCCCGTGGCGCTGTGTTCTGTATGAACTTACATGCCTTTGACGTTATGTTTTGCATTCTTATCCTTACTTAGGGGGGCTGTGGTTTGGCGTACACTCGCGTAACATAACATACGCTCTTCTTTTGACGAGCTGGACGATTTCCAGTTAAAAAATGTACGTGGAACCTGCCTCATGGCAAGCAAGCCGAGGTAAATAATACATGCAGAAGAGGGGTGTTACCTTGACTAACAGATTCTTTGTACTCGTATGCATCAAGCATATGGATGTACTTACAATGACTGGTACGCTTGGGCCGCAGGCTGCACTGTCATGTTCTACTTGGATGTAATGCCCTTCCCAGCTGTCAGGAATCTTGTCAAACGGGTCTACCGTGGTCGGCACTGGCAGGGAGTCGCAGCCAGTGATGCCTTTCTTGTCCTCAACGAAAGCTTCGAATCCAGAAGTACTGTACGGGTTAATCCCAATGACCATCAAGTCCGCAACGCAGATCAGGGAATCTGAAGAGGATATCATGATATCATTGTCAACATAACATATGATATATGGAATCGCGTGCTTACATCGATCTTTTTCACACATAACGCCGTAGTGTTCGCTGTCGCAGTAGCATTTGGCTCCCACACCGTCGTCATAGCAGGTGCCTCCGTTTTCACATGCAGTGGTGGAACAGTTGTGTTGATCAACGTTACCTGACAATGCGAAATTCAGGATATAGAGGTTAGAACATGAATGTCTTTTTGGATGGTAAATATCGTCAATGAACCTTAATACAAAGTGTTAATTTATAATACAGTATATTTACCATCCCAAGACACACAAGTGTGATTGTAATTAGTCAGTCAGACAGTGACAACAGGCAATAAAGTTTTTGGACACTGATTTTCAGTATTTTAGACTATTATTTGGATCGTATGATGTAACAATATGATTCAAGTAACGTGAAAAAGACTTCTAAGTTCGTCTTGGTTTAAATTTAAGTGATCATCAGTTCGGCGGCAAAACAACGCCATCAGTCAAGAGCTTCCTGGTTACTGCCTCGGTCAAAGATTGCAGGTATGTCACGGTGGTGAGGAGTTCTGGTCAGGACGCCATGTTTATATACGCTAAAACTATTCTACCTGAACTTTGTTATTTGTAATGTATCCAAAAATGGCCCCAACGGATACCTTTGGCTTTATCCTGCGGAGTAACCTTCATATTATACGACAAAGTTACGTCATGTCAATATCTGATCGAAGGTTTCTTAGAAGTGTAAAAGATTTACGAAAACGTCCATTTCAAGAAAATATGTGCCGATAAACACTTGAGCACTCACCTAATTCAAGACGACAGTCATAGCCACTGTATTCCGTGGTACAGAGGCAGTCCGCGGAAGTGAAGGTGCAGGTGCCACTATTCAGACAGGCCTGGTTAGGGCGTCGGCAGTCAAATGTGGCATGAGCTGGAAAGAGCAGGTCGAAAGGGCAATATACACAATTTTATTAAACCCCCGACAAAATGTCCGTCTGTCTGTCTGTCTGTCCGTCCGTCCGAAAACTTTGTCCGCGCGATTTCTCTTAAACTTAGTACATATAATAGTGTCATATGGAGGGGTGCAGTCAAAAGAAAAAAAATGTTTTAATTAATTTTCCATTTTTTATGAATTTTTCAAACCCTAACGTCCGTCTGAAAACTTTGTCCGCGTGATTTCTCTTAAACTATTCAGTGGATCCATCTCAAACTTAGTACATATAATCTGTGTCATATGGAGGGATGCAGTCAAAAGGAAAATTTTTTTTATATTAATTTTCCATTTTTTTAATGAATTTTTCAAACCCTAAGGCTAACCCTATCCTAGCTATTTAATTTGTAACTACTGACACACAAGGCGGGTCGGGGGTATTAGTGAGCCACGCTCACTTTTGCACTTGTTATAATTAGTTCCGTACGTTCTTGGGTGTGATTCTTGTTTCATAGTATTTTTCGCTGATTGTTGGTGAAGTTTGTTTTGCATAACGGATTTTCCGCGAAAAACAAACAACAGTTTATATGTGTATATTAATTCAATGACCATGTACATACAGGTACGCACTTTGAAAAAGGGAATTGTACATGAGTGAGTGAGTGAGGTTTTACGCCGCTTTTAGCAATATTCCAGCAATATCACGGCGGGGGACACCAGAAATGGGCTTCACACATTGTACCCATGTCGGGAATCGAACCCGGGTCTTCGGCGTGACTAGCTAACGCTTTAACCACTAGGCTACCCGACCGCCCCGAATTGTACATGAAACATTAATTATGCTACTATATATTCCTACTGAAATATTAGAAATAATGTAACAAACAAATTATAAGAACATGCAACTGGTTAAAAATCATAATATAAAAATGAACTATCTTATTCAAATGTCAAGATTCAAGATTCAAGATTCTTTATTCAGTATTTTGGGCCATGTGGCCTAGAGTACAATTACAATTACAATAATTGCTGCGTCACGTGATGTCAGGAAAATAAATACAAGTAGTCTTATTTCACATTAAATACATGATTTAAGTATAAGGCCAAAGCCTTTACAATGTTGATATTTTTGGAGTTGAGTAGATTACATAAACTGTGATTATCATGATGGACATTGGATAACCAAGGCAAATAGTGGTTTCTGACAGAGGAATATTTTGAACATATAAACAAAACATGAAATTCATCCTCTAATTGCCTCCCTTTACAGTGGGTACATAGATATAAACTCAAGTCTTCATTTGTATGTTTTGACTTTCGTAGCATGTTAATCTTAAAACCGTGTAGCGATATTCTGAATTTACAATATGCTCTCCTGAGTGATTAATTCGTGAGATTACTGATGTAAAATTCTGGCTGTAAAAGTGATTTCAAATTTGCATAATGTGACAGATATTTTGATGAAGAAATAGAGTCATGCCACTCTTGAGAATACATATCACTCAGCCTTTGTTTTATTTTTAGCAAAAAGAGATTTTCATCGCCAATATGTTGAGAGATCCATACAAATGAAAAGTCTGAAGAAAACAAAATATATCTTACATCAGACACCCAGGTGTGTTTATCATTATCATCTAACTGTTTAAGTAGATTGTAACATTGTTTTGGATATCGACATTGATTCATACGTAGCAATCTCAACCAGTATTTAAGTACCCTTATTTTGCTAAACACGAACATATTTAATCGTCCAGTTTCACCAAGAATAGCTTTATTAGAGGCATATTTTCCGATACAAAGATAACTTTTAAAATAGGACGTATGTACTTTTTGTATACATTCATAATATTTTGCCCCCCTGATTTCAGCCCCATAAAGTAATACAGGAGCAATCTTACAATCAAACATTGTACAAGCTGTTTCGAATGTTATATAGCTATTTCTTTTGAAAACATGATAAATGGCTCTAGTGGCTTAAGAAGCCTGTGATGCTAGGCTTTTACAGGCCATTGTCCAGATTAGCCTTGAGGGGAAAAATACTCCAAGATACTTGTAGTAAGTGACAAGTTTTACATTTATAGAGCCATAGAACCATTTTTCATGTTTTCGTATAATGCCACCGTTTCGGAAAACAATTGTTTTTGTTTTATCAAGATTCACACTTAGGCCCCAGGTAATGCAAGATATCTAATTGTCTTTGTAGACAAATAACTGTATATGAGAACATAGTCACATCGTCGGCAAAAAGTAGTAGCAGAATATCTTCAATACTTTCTGAAACAAACACACCATTACATCACGTTTTATAAATGTCAGTTACAAATGTCAGCACTAATGAAGACAACATGAGACACTTGTCGATGTAGGAGTACTACTCACCAAGGCCGAGTGACAATGTCAGAACCAATATCGGAACACTGGCCATGATGGGAACTAGAGCAGCAACAGAAGTCATATTCATTAATTCATATGATTAATGCCAACCACAGAAATAAATATATAAAGGTTCCTTCTTAAATGAAACAAAATATTTCACACGAGAAACACATGATCTATATCCATATATACCGACTATAAACATATATAATAAAGGTTCTGAACATGTAATAGCCAGTTTCAAAATCGTAACCTCTTGGATTTGGGTGAGATGAGTCAATTTGGTGCCAAATGATGTTATGGGACATCACCTGAACTACAAAGACTTAATGATGAATAGATACGAAAGGCTATGGCTATTTGCCGATGATAAGCGTTTTTGCTGATACAGCAAAACAAATCAGTGAAATTAGATATTCAAAAGTTATTGTATTCATAAAGCGGAAGCCATAGTGTGTTATTGGGGTATGAACATTGGCAATGTTATTGAAAGTGGTTCAGGTTATACACATCTAGGATTATTGTTTACAAAAACATTGTCATGGTCTTAACATATCGTAAGCCATAGGCAACATCTTCAACTACACAGTGTGAAATAGGAATTTAAATTTGTTCGTGTATAAATATGTATTGCGTTGAAAGAACATTGTTGTACTAAACACATACACTATTTAGCATCTTTTCATCCAGACTAGCTATCCAGTACATCTAATGAAGATCTCTCAACAAAAGAGACAAAACCAGTTTTGATAATCCACCGAAACAGATTCCATTTTGTGTAAAGGGCAAAATAGCTTTGGAAAATGTATGTATGTACCACTGACATAAACCTGTATGACTAGAGGAATGATTTCAAAATGTCCAGCACTATTCCAGCTGTTCTAGTTTTTGGTGACTACATTTCTCAACATTTGAGATACAATCGAGCATGCTCAAAGTGCCTCGAAAGTTATTTGATCATGATCAGTATTACAACATTCAAGACCTCACTGAGGCTGTCACAAAGGGCATTTCCAGCGTACTAGGGACCTACCCTAGGCTGGAATCTTCACGGAATTGTGATAAAGAAAGTGAGACGAAGTGAGTCGCCTCATACGACCAGCATAGTTTGATGAGGGTGTCTAACCTCGAATCCCCACGAGTTTGTGGTGAAGTAAATGAAATGAAGAAGTCGAATGTGTACAGAATTCACACAACATTATATGCGCGGTGTTTATCGGTACATCAAGGAATTACAACAGGTAAACAAATATCTGGGCTGAAGTCTGATGAAGTGAGCAAATAATTTCAGAATTCACATACATCAAACATCGTCAAAGGGTGGTTTCTTGTTAGTGTCAAATGGGATCTATAGCAAATATCCCAGCTTCCAATACATCAATTCAAAACGTCAACGCCAGAGAACAATCAATCACTAATATCGGCCACAAAAGATCTAATTGGGCAAAAACGGCACATCAATATAGAAAATACATGATGGGTCACGGAAAACCAGTGTAGACACCAGGTGTTCGCGAAAAGGGTAGACATGTTTTGCTTTACCTGATACCAAACATCAATCTCACACTTTTCATTAAAAAAATAAAGTGAGAGTGAGCAAGAGCGTCAAAGAATGAGACAGTATTGCGCATCATGTAGACAAGCGACGTGTCATATTTAGTAAATTCCCCTGAATGTATACAATGACATTTCTGAAAAATGACCTCCGAAACATTGATTATTTGTAACTCAGATATGTCTTAAGTTTCTATGATATAGGAATAGAATGTACACGCTCTAAAGTCACAATGTCTTTTAAAGGCACCAGGCAGGTACAATATAAGTATGGTCCTTCCGAATGGCCTTTAATCCTAAAATTTAATATAGAAAGATGCATCGTGTAAATATTCACCCTATTAGACAAATGACAATAACATCATTATGCATTATTTATAGACAGGCTCTGACAAATTCAATTTAGTTTCACTCACTGTCGGTCCTCAGAGTGAAGCTGACGCACCATTATATTGGTAGTTTGCTGCGAATACATCACAACGTTAAGTTAAACCAACACAGTTATATTAGTGAGACTTGAAGGAAACAAGCTATTACTGACAACTGGCCTGATCCTATAAACGACAGGTTTGAGATGGGCGAAAGGAAACAAGCCTACAATCCATTGTATCCTGCTGAGACATGCAATGTGTCAATCAAAGGCCTTACCTATTTTAGACCAAGATAAACTCTGTTGTCTGTTATCCAGAAAATTAACGAGTGCGCAAACATTCGCTCTCCTGTCCATTTTATAGGGGTTATTAAACACGTTGACAATATCCATTGGCTGGAGATGTACACTGCATATGTGAAATGTAATTGAAAGGTATTTCTTTTTGTGCAAACAAACATTTCGTCGTCAAACTTTTGAATAATGCGTGTATTATTTACATGTTTAAATTGGATATTACAAAGGCCTTTTGACTTATGTAACTGTTCTTGATAGTTTGAATCGCATTTGCAGAGATAGCACATGTAGAATGAGGGTATACATGTACCTCCTAATATAATATATTTGGTATTGAGGTAGTCTGGGTTTTTAGGTAAAGAGGATAAATAATGATGGTTGACAAACATTGTTCATGTCATCGAGTGGCGTTGTGTTAGAATTTATATTTCCACCCCGAATAACACATAAGTTTATTTCACAACAGCCGGTAAATAGTTATGTATAATATGATCCATGCTGCAGTGGTTTTTCAATCAAAGAAACAGCCTCCGTAGCGATGTTGATAGAGCGTCTGTGGTTCGATCCCACGTCATGCCAAAAGACGTAAAAAATAATGCTTGTTGCCTTCCTGACTGGTGCTCTGCATGGCTGAGATAAAGCAAGGAGTTAGTATACTGTGACAGAGAGAGGTATCCATGTTAAACTGCGGCATGGTATCTCAGTGGGCTAGCACTATAAAACTAGCATTAGTCAGAACTAGACTATGCACACACACACACACACACACACACACACACACACACACACACACACACACACACACACACACACACGTGTATGTAACATAAGACTCTCGTCCGTAGTCAATGTTTGGAAGATGGCGAATGCACTTGAAGAAGTCACCTTTCTTACATTTTAATATCCAAACATGAGTGTCATTATCAGGGAGGAACTAAGAAACAGGTTGTACTTGGTTTTGGTGTATCTACTCGGTTTTGGCGGGTGTAGGTGCCCTGGCTTAGAACGCCCTGACAGCGCCTGTATGAAGCGCTATGCATCAGATATTGGGTGTTGTATTCATACATGTAGTTTGGCTGAACGAAATCGAAGTAAGCAGAGTGAGGGAAATGTCATTATGTAACTTGCAGGGAGGCTTCCAAATCCACCAGAGAAATATATCTTCTGTATCTGCCGAATGACGATATAATAATATATATATATATAATATAATATATTTGGTATTGAGGTAGTCTGGGTTTTTAGATATAGAGGATAAATAATGATGTTCATTGTTCATGTCATCGAGCGGCGTTGTTAGAATTGATATTTCCAACCAGAATAACACATAAGTTTATTTTACAACAGCCGGTAAATAGTTTATATATAATATGATCCATGCTGCAGTGGTTTTTCGATCAAAGTAACAGCCTTCTTCTGTATCTGCCGAGTAACGATAAACTATTGTCAGCACATCCTGATTGGTGATACGGACATGGCAGCTTGTAGCTCAAGGTCAGATCGTGGCACTGCCACATCGAAGCTAAAAGAGACCCATTGACGTTCCTTAAACGACAACTGTTTGGCTTGTTGGTAAGTTCGTTTAATGACGACACCCACTGCTCGTTTATTGGCGCATGATCTGCCGACTGGAAATGATTTACTATCTCGTATTGAATCATGCATGTCTCATTTGCTAAGAATATAAGAATGTAAATGGGTGTGGTAATATTTTCTGAACAAATACTAAAAACTATTCTTATACTTAGATATCATTTCAGTGTTTAGATTTTGCACGAGTACCCCTTCCGTTGAAGTTTCACATGTATCAAAATGATATGTGACCAACCAGAAAAGAGACTATTGGGTGCTAGGATACAATTTTGCTCTGAAAGACATTTGACGTCAACTTACTTCCGTATTAATCGCCATGTGTGCGATCTGTACACATATATCTTGTATTTCTCTCGTCACTTTGTAATGGAATAAAAACATATTTTAAATCATTCCAGCATATATGTCTACTTTCAATTAATGATACATTCTATCTGAAAACTGCAATCACTACACAAACAGTTATAAGTCTGAAAATGGGACTTTGCAGAAAATGAGACCAAATGTTTGATGCCATGTGTCTCTGTTGTAAATATGAGTCGAAGCTGATGAATTGTATTTTGTGGTCCTAAGATACTGTAGTTGTAGTTAATAAAATGTTATTTTTTTCACCCTAAGGTCCCTCATGTCATGGCTGGTCACATACAGCTAGTTTTGTCTTTCAACATTCAAAAGTCATGACTTCCCGTATGGATTCTAGGTAATAACAGTGGTCCCTAGAAATCTGTGCGACTAAATGCAACAGGTGGTCACGCTCACTGACTTGAGTAATGCATGTCATCGTATTCCGCTGCGTGGATCGATGTTCATTATATCAATCACAGGATTGTCTGGTCCAGACTCGATAATTTACAGACCGTCGCCTTTATACACCTGGAATATTGTTGAGCGTGGCGTTAAACAACAAACAAACAACAAACATAGCCAAAATCAAAAGTCATGTTAATCATAAGTTACCGTTGGTGTTATTTTTAACTTTAATTTTGTACACGTTTAGATGTTATTGTATTTCAGTTGTAGAAGTCAAACAAAGGAAACGTGAAATGTGTCCGGATAAGCAAACACACACACACACACACACACACACACACACACACACACACACACACACACACACACACACACACACACACACACACACACACACACACACACACATACACACAACCACTTCTGAATTGTACAAAGGACTTTTCTTTTCGCAGACATGGAAAGAAATATGGACAGGGTTGTGTCGCTTTTATTATAATTGCCAATTTGAGGATGCATAAACAAGGCGTATACACACAATATACCGTTGTAGTTGTTCAATCGCATAGCCATGTCAATTTAAATCAGAAATCGTAGGCTCCTTTTCTTGTTGAAAACATCGTCGGTGTAAGGTATTGTTTGCTTAAATTAACTTGATTTAAATATGCATGTATCTGGTGAGCATTGAAACACCCAAAGAAGTTCTGAGGAGCATGCAGCAAAAATACGATATTAAATGTATGACAGACTGACATATATTCTATATTTGTTTCCTAAATTGTGATAAAAGTGACATAACATGTATTCTTTAATATTCCACAAGGAATATATATATTTATATTTAGAGTCTTTAAGTGATTATAAGGGGTGTTCGCGAAAAGGTCAGCGTATCCTTTCCCACCAGTGACATCCGTCAAAAACACGTGCAAAGGCAAGTCAATTGTACAAATGTTTTCTATAAAACGTTTTGAAAGCTTTGCAGAGGCATTGAATGGTGTGACATTCATCAAACAAGTTTTGAGCAAGGGAGGAAGAGTCGTATGACGCTCTGTGAATTCTTCGAAGAAAGAGCATCCTCGATTGTAGCTGAAGAAATTGTGGTGAAATGTAGACACTGCAGGCTGGAGCTGCTAGAATATTGGCCGACATTAAGGGAAAGTCATCCCTCTTGCCATACACGCTTGTTGATAGGTTATTGTCACTCTGAATCTTTGTGTATAGATCTAATCATAAATACAGACGAGGTCCAACTAGTCTCCATTATTACCAGTTCAGAGTAGTAAATCAGTGGAAGGGAATTGGCTATTTGACTGTTTTTGAACGATATCATATCACTCATATACCTGAAGCCAAATTCTCCTTTTTAACTTTGCCAATCCGAGCAGAAATTCCGATTTACCTAAATGTCATAGCCCCAAGGTTAACATTAACGTTTTCAACGAGGAAGTCCAGAATATCACATATTGTTTTCTCAGTAAACTTCTGATGGCATTTGATTTGATTTTTTTTTAAATTGATCCGAACCTGTGAACTATCCCAGTCTTTCCCAGTTTACATACTGGCGGCATAGGTGGCTTTATTTGATCTGTCACTTATAGTTCTTTGCTCAAACAATTAATGTAGTGATGCTTACAGTATACTGGTTATGTTATTTGAGGCATTGTCAACTACTTTACTTGTAGGGCAGCCTGACTTTGGATGGTGCATGGCTGGGACAGAATGGGTTATTCCAATTCTGCTTTCTTTTTTTCATTTGTGCATTCTCACCAATGACAACATGACGCATTGACTTACCTCGCCCTGATAGACATTGTTCTTCTCTTTCTGTCCATGTTTTGCATATGCTTGAACAGCATCCATAACGATTTTAGAGAATCCCAGTTGGTAGGAGTGAGTGAGGGAGTATGGTTTTACGCCGCTTTTAGCAATATTCCAGCAATATCACGGCGGGGGACACCAGAAATGGGCTTCACACATTGTACCCATGTCGGGAACCGAACCCGGGTCTTCGGCGTGACGAGCGAACGCTTTAACCACTAGGCTACCCGACCGCCCCCCAGTTGGTAGGAAGCTGCTTACGTTATTTGGTATATATTTGAATAACTGACGAAGATCGATAAGACCGAGAATGTTATGGACTTCTAACTGCAACACTTCTCTTTATGAGCATTTTTTTTGTTCTCAATCCTACTTTGAAAAAAAACACAGTGACATTCGGCATAAAGGCATTCAGCTATGTACTTTTAACTTGATTTTTGTTATCGAAACAACTTCTGCTAACTAGTTTCGCTTTCTTTGCTTGCTCCTAGTTGGATTGCGGAAGCATATTACGTCAAAGCATTTTAGAGTGACGTATGCGTCATGTCTATCTCACGGTTGTTACGGCACGTGTGGAGAGGAGTAACAGTTGACGTTTTCAATTTGTCTGAAAAACATTTTGTGATTTTATAATTCGATTTGCTTAAATAGTCACATTTGAAGATAATATCCGCATATCTGAAAACACAGTGCGTGTGTGTCTCGTAATCAATGTGTGAGATTGACTGTCATTGTATAACATCAGGAACTAACATAAAATGTAACAAAGCTGTTATGCGCATATAAAGAATAACGTGACAGAGATTTGTTTTTAATGATGTCTTTATGTAATGTTGACAATGTTATTATCCATTCCATGAAGTAGAGTTTGTGAGTCATCGATCTTTGAAAGGTAAAAAAACAACGGACCTCACGATGAAGTGGCATGCTCTGTCATTGTAGCTGAAAGGTCGAAAGCGTTCAAAACGCCCTTATCAAGGCTCTGTGTATCTGTAACAAGACATTTGTTGGGTTGACTTTCTGATCCAGGTTTGAAATATCATTGTATGTAGAATGGAATTATTAAAAAATCAGAATTAGTTATTTATCTGAGAAGTGCAACGCCTCATCACTGAAAGAAAGGGGAACGTTTCTTTCCGTTGTTCACCGATGTTTCACGGTGGCTGATAACCTTGCATACACACCAATCTTCGATTTCCAGCAGCAATAACGCTGACGAGGATGACCACGATGACGATGAGGGCAACAGAGAAGACGATGAGAAGGACGATGGCCACAGCCATGACGATGACAGTTGCTGTGATCTCCCAAGATGTCTCGCAGCCAGAGATGGTAGTTTGGGAGGAGGTTTCTGTGAAGAAGGTATGGATGGTCAATGTACTGAATCAATTGATGCAGGACTAATACAGTGGCGTCAGAGGAATTGTGTCCTTTGTTATAATTTACGAAACATATAAGATATATTAGTAATGAGTCTCATTAATAACTATATCGCCTGATACAGAAATCAACATGCACACTAAGTAGCATTATCATGTCTATCACATGTAGGATTTTTTTGGGAAAATTCAAATTTTTAATTTCAAATTCTGCCTAGCAATGTTTGGGTAATATACAATGCCTTGTTATTTCCATTCCGCATGTAAAATGTATAGCAGTTTGAAAGGGAAAGAATCATCGAGGAGTGACTTTTCCTTGTGCTCCAACAAATGAAGCTTTTCTGTCGGGCGGACGGAGTGGTTTGTTTTGTATCAGAATATAGCAGTTGTGTGTTTTGTACCACTGGCGTAATGTATGCGAGATAATGGGACGTATGTGTCTCTGTGCTGTTTACCACTGATGTACTGTATGAGAGATGAATACTAAACATTCTTACTGACTACTAATGTCAGACAAGGCTGTGAAGATCTACTTTATTGTTTATTGTTGAAGTTTATGTATGTTGTTATTTCAGTGGTGGTCCTTAAAATATATATATATATAAAATCGAGGTAAACCATACCGCCCTGACTACGGATCTTCACCACCTTGGAAAGCTGCACCTCGTTCCCGGCATCCCTCTTCCTTCTGCCGTAACCACCGCCTGGAGCGGAACAGTTAACCTGACACACAGAAGGTGAGAAATGTTCAGTTTAATATCCCAAGGCAGTTCAAAGGCCAGTTTGTGTTCCGAAGATAATTAATTTTGACTGGTATGTGAAGGTTGTTTTGTTGGGTGTGGGGTGTGCGGTTGTTTTGTTGTGGGTGTGGGAGTTCATATGTTGGGAGTGTGGGGGCTGTTTTGGTGGGGCGGGGTGTTTTTTTGTTGAGGGTGTGGGGGTTGTTTTGTCAGGCGCGGTGCAGTTAACCTGACACACAGAAGGTGAGAAATGCACATTTTAAGATCTCTCCCATTTATACATGCAACGAGATCATATCAATAATATAACAAAAGCATTTTAAGGTGATTTTAAGTTTGAGATCCTAAGAGAAAGTAGAAATATATAATGTTCCATATGTTTCATAAACGTTATCACCTACAGAGCAACAGGCCGACATGTCATCCGTCACACAAACATCTCCCTCTTAAGAAGATTGCGATTATTTTTATATTATTAGTTGCGTGGAAGAGTATCATTCTCTTTCATTGTTTAGTGTCATGCATCATGTATCTGTCGATGTATGTTAATAAGACGTGCAATTGAAATGTCGGATATTTTTGTATGATTTAGTTTCAGTGACGATGAATAAAAGTTGTCACCTACCGGGTCACAGGCCGAGTTGTCTGCTGCCACACAAACTCTGACCCGGAAGGAGAAAATCACTTCGTCATTTCCGTCGAAGTGGAAAGCCTTTATCACCAGACTGAGTAGCCTGCTGTTAGAATGGTCGGGGGTCACTGCTTCTGAGATGAAAGGAAGCCCGTCAGTGTGCACACAGCTGAAACAAATAAACATGTCGACCTTGCACTTGAGGCAATTCTCTGCGATGATCTTGCAGATTCTACAAGTACATTTCATAAATCATGTTTGAGTTGGGGTACGCACTTCCATCTTTGCCCATAACCACTGAACAAACAACACATTTTTACAACAATGTCTCAAACTTCGACCGCAACGTCTGTAGAACAAACAATATATGATTAAATGGTTGCTCTGTGAATATTGTCCAATACAAGATGTAGAAAGGTATACATTTTCTTTATAGAATGACATATGTTATTATTCAGGAGCTGAAGAAAGGCCATGGATATTTTGGACAAAGAAATGTTTATTCTAAACATATTAGGGACCCGACATTTAATATTCTGGGGATGGGTGTGTTCGTAAACAGATTCCTTTTTTTAAAGTAATTGCTTCAAGACTGTTTTTTCTATTAACCATACATTAGTTTTACACACCCCTCGTATTTCAGAACATCTACAAAATCCAAAGTGACCGGTGAAATTCAGTTTGGGGTGAAACCTGAGAAGAAATTAACATTTTCCTTAATTATATGTATAACTTCTTAACTATTTTTTCCGGAAAAGATTATTTGCTTTACAAATTCCTCATTTTAAGTATACGGTGTCCCAGTATGGAGGATTGAACATTCGCTCGTCATCGTCCCAGGTGAACGCTGTAACGCACCTCCCTGAAGACCACACCTACCTTCCTTCTATCAGCTTCAGCGTCTTTTCGGTGTTGGAGTTGGTGTTGTTGGCCTCCCCCTCCTCCACACGCATTGACGTGTACACTGGGGAAACAGTGTTCATATATGTATAGCATTACTAACAATGCTATGGTCAAACCCCGGGGGGATACTTCAGCCAATATTTCACCATCTTTAAATTAGTATTTTCTGATATATTTCTGGTCTTGGACTGGAAAGGCGGTCATGGTCACATGGTTCACTTACTCCTGGTGTCATGATTGTAACTTCTACATTGATACGTGGGAGAAAGTTCCTTTCTTATGATTACATATTTGATAACCATAAGGCTTTGATATTTCGAAAAAATTTTTTTATAACATTCAACAAGAAACGTATAAATCTTTGCATCTTTCAATCTGTATTCAAGTTCTTAAAGTCCCAATGCCTTTAGTACATATAGTACAGAGATGTTGCCATACAGATGTGTCATCTCCGATTTTCAGTGGTCCATTCATATTATTTTCACAGCTATCTTGACTGGTTATTCTCTAGCATAGACAATAAATATTTACAAACATTGTTTTAAGCATACAGTGTGTACTATAGTCCTGTGGCTTTTGAATGTTTAAATAGAAACTAATTGATGAAAATGTTTGTTAAAAACCAACCTCCTTGAACTCCAAACAAAAATTTAAGTTCTGCCCCAGCGTCAACGAGATCTCCGTTGTAGAATCCACCATCGACAAATAGATAGAAGTCCACAGCCTTGACCATATCCTCGCGAGACACTACGTGCTGGCTGTTCCTGAGGATATATTCCTTATTATGACTTTGGCAGTTTCATACTGAAAGATTCGAGGATACGTTTATATTGCCTTATTTGAAACAACAAATCCAATTATCACTTTCAAAGATTTTAATATTGCCTCCATATGCTATTTTACATTCAATTTATCAAGATGTTTCAGAAGTTATCTGTTTATTCCAGGGCACTAACCGACATACAGGTGTTGACACGGCTGTATTTGCGTTCGTATTTTATGAACGGATCCAAATAGACATCCAAGGCTTTTATTCGTGTTCACATGATAGTTGTACCTTGAGGACAAGAAGTTTCGCTCCTGGCACTCGTGGCTCATGAGATGCTTTCTTAAAATGTGATCCCTTATTATGAGATGTGTTACATGACATGAGAATGTGCAAATACTGTTCGTGTTGCAACAGAAATATGGGAGCATAAATCCATGATGTTTTATTTCTTTGATATTAACTCATCGTGATGAAAGTAAACAGTTCCAATATGTTACGAATGTATCCTACATGTTGCCTATCAACAAAACGATGCTCGAAATATCCATGAGAGACAAAATAAGGACCCAATGTGTGTGCGGTGGGAAAATCAGATCCGATTATGTTCTGGTTTAAGAAATCGGTAGGTATGGAGTCAGGGATGGACATGTACATAGGATGGGGTACTTTAGAGGTAATGCAGACACATAAAGGAAATTACTATATAGTAGATGGTGCCTAAAATTTTCTATTGTTTTCTATCATATCATACAGTGATTGACAACGATGCTCTAATATCATTGAAATAGAACAGGAATAGAAATAGACAAAAGAGAGGTCAGTTTTATGTTATGTAATCGCTATAAAGTTTTCTAGCCACCGTTTGAATAGAGCGAGAAGGAAAATCACTGGTGTCGTTTACATGTTGCGATTCGTAATCTTTATACATTTTAAAAACTTGTGTTGGTTGGAAAGTAACATTAACGATTTAACTAACATATGTTGCCTACCTCTAGCTGTAGTCCTACTAAGTGGATATAATGTGAAAAAGTTGCACAATTATCTACAATCTCCTTTGCTGAAGGTTTTCATTGCAGTATCTGTCGTGAATCATTCGCCACCCTTTGCAATCATACCTCGAAGTAGTCTACTAGTTTCTGGCTATATTAAGTTATCATTTGATAGACATTGTTTTAAGCATTCATTTTGTACTAGCGAACTGGGTTCCATTCAGGTGGGAGAAAGCCTCAATCCTCTGCCAGTATATGTCAGGGATCTGGGAGTAATTGTTAATTCTGAGTTGACCTTAGAGGATCATGTCAGCCCTTTACTCCAATTCAGAACATATGTAACTAGTCTTTTTGCGGGGCACCTCAATGACCGAATAGCAAGCTACAATGCATCCAAAATACAGCAGCAAGAAAAGTCTCCCCCTCGCCATAGACATGATCATGTTTCACCTACATTTTATGACATTGGTTTCCCGTGAGTCATAAATTTCTTTCAAAATCTTGTGTTATGCAAGTTCATTTCTGGCGAGGGTCGTGATCAGGCTGTACACCCGAGTTGGATCACTTGGATCTGAATCACCAATATGTGTTATGCACCAAACTTTCTTAAGCAAACGCAACACCAGCGATGGGTATGGCGCTGATGATGTCATCGACACAACTGCAGCCACTGTGTCGAATATGACGAAGTAAAATAACACCAACGAAGGACCTTCTTTCTCAGATTCGGTCAGGTCGTGGTTTGTTGTTTAACGCCGCACTCAGCAATATTCCAGCTATATGACGGCGGTCTGTAAAATAATCGAGTCTGGACCAGACAATCCAGTGATTAATATCATTAGCATCAATCCACGCAATTGGGATCGATGACATGCATCAACCAAGTCAGCGAGCCTGACCACCCGATCCCGTTAGTCGCCTTTTACGACAAGCATAGTCACCTTTTACTTCAAGCATGGGTTACTGAAGACCTATTCTATCCCGGAATCTTCACGGGTCAGGTCGTAAACGGATGACAGAGCACAAAATGGAAATAACCAGGAGTATGTGTTGTCATGTTCGTGATAGTAAGTGTCCTGTTTTGAAGGTGAAGGACACGGGTGTAGTTGTCCTCAGCGGCAGTGTTGATGCAGAGTTACGTGCCTGATCTTGGACGATCTCGGGTGCTACCACGTTGCCAGTATCGTGATATTTAATTCTTGGTAGCATTTAAATGCCTTCTGATTCAACAGCATCAAGCCTACAAATAGCATTTCTCGCATGTTTATAAAGTCTTGGCACGGCGATTTTCAAAATCCACTTGTAACTTGATGATTTGTGAAAAAGTGGCCACAAAACCCATGACAACATCTATGACTTTCACGTTAAAATTGATTTTCTGTTTCCCAAGTGAACATTTGCTAAAAAACCCATTCGTTCACGCTCGTGTGTTTCACAAGTGCTCACATGACCGCTGCTCTACTAAAGTATCGACTTCAATATGTTTGGCGTTCATGGAGTTTAAAATTTATGGTAAGTTAACATAAACGCAAAAAGATGGCTGATTAGGCAATCTAATGCCACAAAAATCACTTGCCCGATCGTGCCATTGCATTCTCATAAACTATCACGTCAGTACTTACGCGCCCGTGACGTTCATCTTGACGACGCTGCTATCAACGGGTACAGTGTTATCTAGGATACACTTAACGTTGTAGCGATCGTCGATGAAGGTCAGGTCATTCGGGCTGTATTTCACCACCACCACACGGTTAAATTCTTTCCTGTTGCCGGTCTGCACGAAGGTGACAAAAGTTGGATATGATGTCCTCGATCAATTACATCATAGTAAGACAAATGACAATATAAGACATGTAATAATTGTCTGGACGAGTAAACATCTTTGAAAAGTAAAAAATATAATCAGAGGGAAAAAGCAAGATTTAAGATTTACATCTTGACATTATGAGAACATTTTTTATTAAATTGGGACTTTCCATTTCTGACACTGGCGATTGGCCTATCATTTAGGCCACAGCAGAGTTATCAGATAATGTTCTGTTTTTAATCAGGACCAACCTTCCTGATTATTCCTGGTGTGTAGGTTGGGCTTAGAATGTTGACGTACACTTGCGCTCTTCTTTTGACTAGTTTTCCATAATATTTAATACGCCAGGCATGCTGTGGTAAATGATACATGCAGAAGAGGGACGTTACCTTGGGTTCAGTTTCCTTTATTAACAGAATCGTTGTGCTCGTATGCATCATGCATGTGGTATGTACTTACAATGACTGGCACACTGGGGCCGCAGCCTGCACTGTCATGTTCTACTTGGATGTAATGCCCCTCCCAGCTGTCAGGGATCTTATCGAACGTGTCTACCGGATTTGGCACTGGCTGGGAGTCGCAGCCAGCGATGCCTTTCTTGTCCTCCACGAAAGCTTCGAATCCAGAAGTACTGTACGGGTTAATCCCAATGACCATCAAGTCCGCAACGCAGGTCAGGGAAACTGAAGAGGATCAGTGTTTGAAAATAATATCTTGATGTGTCTATCTTTCGATGTTATGTACTCATGCCTGTCAAAATTATTCCACGAAATTTTGTTCTTTTTTTTAAAGAATATGTCAACATAAGGTACGATATATGGAGTCGCTTCCTTACATCGATTCCTTTCACACAAGTCGCCGTAGTGTTCGCTGTCGCAGTAGCATTTGGCTCCTCCACCATTGTCATAACAGGTGCTTCCACTGACACACGTAGTGGTGGCACAGTTGAGCTTGTCAACGTTAGCTGACAAAAAGAAAAGTAAAAAACAAATTGAACAAGCAAAGTTGTTGATTATGTACTCATTATTGTATTCCTGACCAATCGAGCTGTTTAACCTGGGCTTTGACTGTTTTCAGATCCGGACTCTTGACACACTCCGGACACTTATTGATATACATATATGCATCTGACATTTTCGGCTTCTCATTCAGAACATTCTGCATTTTCCGCATCATAAATAAAATGTACAGGGTGGTTTAACGTCACTTTTTCTCCATTCCAGTCACGACCCGTGAAGATTCCGGGGTAGAATTATTATAGGTCTTCAGCAACCCATTCCTGCCGTAAAAGGTGACTATGCTTGTCGTAAAATGCATGTCATCGATCCCAATTGCGTGGATCGATGCTCATGATATCAATCACTGGATTGTCTGGTCCAGACTCGATTATTTACAGACCGCCGTCATATAGCTGGAACATTGCTGAGTGTGGCGTTAAAGAACAAACAAAACCAAAACCATGCCAGTCACAGGACGGGGACACCGAAAAATCAGCTTCACACGTTGAAAAATCTGAAAAAAAGTTTAACCTGACACATCGGTATGACGTGCTAACGCTCTACCTATGGACGACCACATGGCTACTCATAACTATGAGTGTAAATATAGAATCAGTAATACACTGCAGCATACCCTGAAAGTCATTGCAACCAATGCTATTTCAGTAGGGCCTTTAATAGACGAGAAATGTTTAAGCATATAGAGTGTATCACGCAAGTGTCTTTTGGGATGGTAAATATCATGTATATTTACCCATACGGTCTAAAATATGCAGTGTAATATTTTGTGCGGTTGGTGCTTGTCGAAGCTGAGTGATCAGTTAACAAAGATCAATTTTCATTGGACGACGGGACTATTTTTTCTCTCATTGCGTTCATGCACAAGTCCATGACATTAATTAAGTAATTTTTGCCCGCTACAATCTCACAAATCGAGCTTTATAAGACAAGAAACATAGTTCCATGTCAACGATATAATTTCATATAATAATCAACAAAGCTTTTATTTCACATGATTTTCAGTTTACAATCAACATAGTTACAAGAAACAAAACTAAGCCTACTTTGTTTGCAAACAAACATGGCTGACCACTTGACGCCCTTCAAAGTAAATGACCTCGTTATACGGACGGAAATCTGACAGAAGAGTTATTCGTATTCAGCCTCTGAACACATTTAATGTCTTTGATGTAGAAATGCATATGGCCAGATTGAAGTTCGAAGATTCAGATTGAGAGTGTTGTCAGAAACTTTTTCCGACAATGGTGCCCCAGAGAATTAGATTATGCAAGTTTCGAGACACAATAACGTCCAGTCTACCAACAGCTATTCGACAGTTAATGAATCATAACATCAAAATATCAAAGAAATCTTGTCATCTTCTATGTCTACTCCATAAGTGTGTTTGACAAGTCCTCCTAAAATCCCAGATGCTCATGTTTCCCTTCAATCGCACTTGTCTCAAATCCCAAGCGATGTCCATTCCTGCACCATTGCGCACCCTGTTCTCGAGGCTCTTATATGGAAGTGTTTTCAGTTTCTCCATTTCTTCTAACAAATCGGGTCACTCCGGTGTCGACAGTCATCTACCGGTCGCAAAGATAACAATTCTTATTGATTCTGTTTTTGGGTAGTCTACAGAGCTTGTTGTCCGGAATAAACTGTTGTCGTTCCTGGTTTCAGGTTAAGTCGGGTTATTCAACACCGTGACAGCAATAGTACTTTTCAAAGTTTACCCCTTTCGTAAATTTTAGCCAACACCCATGACTTGTGTACATCCTCTCTTTGTTGTAACAGGTTTTGGCATGAAAATAATGACATGTTTTTTTCCGCGTTTCCTCGTCTTTATGTGAAATGCACGTCTTTGCTTAACGGCAGCCGTCTGTCAATGGCGAGAACTTCTATTGTCAAAACAACCCCTGATTGAAAACTCGTTTGTCTTTTTTCAAAATTGTCTTGTTTTATCAATGCTAGATAGTGTACGCTGTGAAATCAGACAGAAATATAGCTGCAATAATGTGATCTTTAAAGCGTTTCAACAGAACTATATTTTTAATGAATACGTTTAAGAAATACGTTTGGCGTTAGAGGACATTGTTTTTTCACACGCGGTGGCTTATTCTTGATCTTGATCGTTGTTTTCTAAAAACATGTCTTTAATATGATTATTTGTAATAATTAGAATAACCCATGATTGATGAGTGTATACGGAAAATCAGTCACTCGTGACATGGGGACTTGGACGTTGGACTAGGGCGACGCCATGTTTGTTTGTAAACACTGAAAGTCGTATCTACTTGACCATTTTCATTTGCATATTTATTCGAATATGACCCCATGCCAACAGTGACCTTTGGTCTCATTCTGCCGACAAACCTAACCATGTTTCATCGGGATGATGTCGTGTCGAAGGTTTGTCACCGCCACCGAAAGCTGATAAAGCTTAAATGATTTAAACACGTCCCATTTTAATTCTGGAAACCCAAAAGTCCAGAAACTCTACGCTCTTTGCCCAGTCTCGGTTAAAGGTATTTACAAAATTAAACATGCCGTTTTCATGGGAACATACCAAGGAAGAAAAAATGAAAAAAAAATTGTTTAAAAACTCAATATTTAGACTATGTCGCCCATGGGCCTGCCCATGGGCGAAGTGTGGCCCATGGGCCTGCCCATGGGCGAAGTCTGGCCCATGGGTAGGCCCATGGGCAGGCCCATGGGCGAGAATATGTTCCTTTACTTAAAACTCATGTTTTTGATTCGCAAATACATTTGATGTATTCATTCAAGTATCATGACACAATATTTAACTCATTTTAACTTAATTCAACGATTTTATAGCGATATTGAAATATTTCGCCCATGGGCGAGAAAAAGGTTTGGCCAAAGGGCGAGAATATGTTCCTGTACTTAAAACTCATGATTTTGTTTCGCAAATACATTAAATGTATTTATTGAAGTATCATGACACAAAATTTAACTCATTTTAACTTAATTCAACGATTTTATAGCGATATTGAAATATTTCGCCCATGGGCGAGAAAAAGGTTTGGCCCATGGGCGAGAATATGTTCCTGTACTTAAAACTCATGATTTTGTTTCGCAAATACATTAAATGTATTTATTGAAGTATATTGACACAAAATTTAACTCATTTTAACTTAATTCAACGATTTTATAGCGATATTGAAATATTTCGCCCATGGGCGAGAAAAAGGTTTGGCCCATGGGTAGGCCCATGGGTAGGCCCATGGGCAGGCCCATGGGCGAGAATATGTTCCTTTACTTAAAATTCATGTTTTTGTTTCGCGAATACATTAAATGTATTTATTTAAGTATCATGACACAAAATTTAACTCATTTTAACTTAATTCAACGATTTTATAGCGATATTGAAATACTTCGCCCATGGGCGAGAAAAGGGTTTGGCCCATGGGCGAGAATATTTTCCTTTACTTAAAACTCATGTTTTTGTTTCGCAAATACATTTAATGTATTCATTTAAGTATCATGACACAAAATCTAACTCATTTTAACTTAATTCAACGATTTTATAGCGATATTGAAATACTTCGCCCATGGGCGAGAAAAGGGTTTGGCCCATGGGCGAGAATATTTTCCTTTACTTAAAACTTATGTTTTTGTTTCGCAAATACATGCAGGTGTTCTTACTATTTTCATGGCACATAATGTAACACAATTTTACTCAATTCAGCTATTTTACAGATTTATTGAAATATTTCGCCCATGGGCGAGAAAAGGTTTTGCCTTCGAAATCCTTGATTATTATATCATGCCAGAGTTCTGAAATTCAGTGACAATGCTGTTGAACAGTAGAATCTGATTGACGTATTTTGCAGAACCTGTTTGACACTATGGGTTCCAGGACCACTAACACTCTGAGCTGAAAAAGTTTGGTCCTAACCGCACCCAACATCTTTAATGAACCCGGCCTTATCTCTCAAAACGTTTTGGCAGTTTATCATACGAATTCATGTGCGTGTACAACATTAAATTTTAGTTAGTTTCTATTTCATTTCCCATTTTATGACCCGTTGATACATCCCACTGTGCAATTACGTGACAGGTACGCGTTCGCGTATTTTAATGGAAAGAAACTATTCGTCTTTTATTGCATAACGTTTGGCTGAATATCTTACATTCTAACGAAATCTCGAAATAATTATTTAATTACAAGCAGTGTCGAACTGACCAGTAGGAATTATGTTTCAATGCGATTGAGGAAAACGTGAGTGAATATTGTGACACTAAAGCAACTTTTAACTGCATTGTCACTTTTGGTATGAAAATGGTAATAGTTAAGAAAAACGTAACAGCCTTCTTATGATAATTCTCATATTCTCATTAGTACGTTGTGTCTAATTACAGTGTCGGCCTTATTTACAGGTGATTCTACAATACTTGTTGTCGGTCAATTACAATCTGCCACACCACGCGTGAATAAACAGTTATGCAGGTGTTGCTGTGGGCAAATACCTAGCCTGTACATGTATATTTTGTGGATACATGTATTACATATTTTCGTTGATATGTGGATATATTAAGCACCAAGACACAAAAAGTTTATGAAAGATGAATTTGTGCCTTGATATATATATTCAACGCGAGCGAAGCTTGTATTTTCTCCGCGATCCTGATGTGTATCATCGTTTAATTGGTCAATCATTAAAAGTATGTTGTGAGGCGATATCAAAGGAGCCGCTCAATATACACAGTGTCGTCCGTTTCGCGTGAACTACCACCCTACCCTGTCAGTAAGAGTTATGTAATCGGTACACAAATATATTTGGTGCGATGTCAGTGTGGAAGGAGTTTGAATTACGTCCGCCAGTGGCCACAGAAAGTAAAGTACCAATCAACAAGGCCAATGCCGTACTAATAACCTAGTGACTCGCGTAACAACGGCTGTCAATATGTCTGCTACATCTACCATACCATCATCCCTGTC